CTGGGTCAGAAATGGAGGGAAGACCAGGTACATACTTCTTATTGTAAATCGCAGTGTCACATCTTCCCGGTGGCATCCTAGAATGGGAGGTATTCAAGGATTGTCTCAAATCTGGGGAACCAAACGGATTCAAACATGAGAGATGCCACATGTTTTGCCCCCTTTCTGGTCGACTAAAAGCTCTGGAAGTCCCTCAAGTTCAGGTCCCTTTGATTATGTGGTCCTCGGGGTCTCCCAAGGGTGTTTGAGCCCCAGGTTGGTCCTCCTGGATCGTATCGACCAGACCAGCACATTTGTCGACAGATTGGAGAAGGCAGACCCCATCTCCGCTGCCAGGGGTCACCCTGGGTCTTCTGTTCTTTGCTGGGTTGAGAGTGGATAAAGCATGGAATATGTCCACAGAGATCAGGGCAGAACCTCCCCAAACCTCATTCAAAGCACTGAGACCCCAGACAGCCTCGGAAGTTGCACGCCCTCTGTGGCCCAGGCACTATGGAATTCGATTGCTTTATCACATAACCCTTAATGCTGGGTTCTGTGTTGTCCTGTTCCATTGTGGGCATGGCTAGGTACTCCCATGTCCCTCTCTTCCTGTCCCCTCCCCAGATCATGCTGTGGTGCCCAACTTGCCCTCTCCACACCTGAGGGGCAGGGCTGGCTGAAGGCAAGTTGTCCCACCAGAACCTTGATACTTGGTGATTCTTAAGAAATGCTAAGGGGCACGTGGCCTGGTCTGCCTTTCGGGTAGGGAGGGTGAGCTGACTGTGCCTCCTTGAGCTCCTTTAAAACAGGAGGGCCAAGCTCTGAATTTATCCCTCCCCCCACCCTTTTGCTCTGGTAACCATAAGTTTGCTTTCTATGTCTGTGAGTCTGTTTGTGTTTTGTGAATTAGGAGCTGAAAATTAACAGATACTAACTACTATATATAAAGTAGATAAACAGTAGAGTCCTGCACAGGGAACTATATTCAATTTCTTGTAATGACCTGTAATGGAAAAGAATCTGAAAAAGAATGGATATATGACTGAATCACTTTGCTGTACACCAGAAACTAACACATCGTTGTAAATCAACAGTACTTCAATAAAAACAAAAACAAAAACCAGGATGGCCCAGAGACCCCATGAGAAGTCAGGCTGAGGGAGCCGTGGCCTCTGCCATGGGGCTGCTTCCTTGTGCCTGAGCACCCTAACCCCGAGAAGGTGGCGGCCTGCGCTTGTCACCTCCCTTCTGAGAGCCCCTTCTTGAAGAGCATGCTTGGGGGTTGCTCGAGGTGGGGGCTTGGCTGTTGAGCACCGTGGGGACCCACGTGGGAGTCACGGGGTTGGGGGTGTCCTCCTAGACTTGAGCACCTGATGCTTTGTAGCAGGCCACTTGATAATTCCGTTTCATTAAGCGGCAACCAGGGAGAGCAGAGACCAAAACCAATTCCCCTGTAGTCCTTCTCTTGCAACTAACTTTGCCTTTAGCAGGGGATACACGAGCACATGGTATGTTGGTGTGTGGAGAGCCGCGACAGGGCTGGGTGGTGGCCCTGCTGAAGCCCATGTGCTCAGCGGGGGCCTCAGCCGAGACCTGAGGGAGGCAGGGAGCAAGTCCTGGGTGGAGGGCAGAACCTCCTTCTAGAAGTACCGCAAGTGTGTTCACTGGCCCCACTTCAGAGTGGTCATTGCAGGCACGGGCCCACTGCCCACCCCTGCCCTTGCCTGCCTCCGTCACATTGGGGTGTGCCAGGGTTGAGTCAGACAGGCCACCCCTCCAGGAGGCGCCTTCCGCTTCCTGGTATGTTAGGTCTCTTTTCTGAGCACCTCTGGCACCTGCTGTGCCTCGCTTGTGCTGTGTCCATCTTCCCCTTCAGAGCCCGGCTCCAGGCTGGGCCTGTGTTGTCAGGAAGTGCTTTGGGATGGAGGTGGGGAGGGGAAGGCAACAGGTGTGCCCACCAGACCCTATTCCTGTCCAGCCTCCCACATATCCAGCTTGGTGGCCTTGGGGGTGCTGGGCCACCTCAAAAGCTGAAGTAGGAGCCGTATTACCTTGCCGGCAGAGCCATTCAGTTGTGCTCATAATTATGAAGCACCTACTGTGAGCTCACTGTGCCCCTCCCTGGAACACAAAACAGCATAGATTCAGATCCCTGCCCCGTAGGGTGGACCTTCTCATGGGGATCAGAGAAAATACGCAGAATCATAAGGTAAACTATATTAGAAGGTGGCGAGTGCTTGGAATATCATAAGGGAGGGGGGAAAGAGACTGAGGAGGTTTGTCATCTCACTTAGGGGTCAGGGCAGGTCTCACAGAGAAGGAGAAGGTGACACTCAAGCAGAAACCTGAGGAGGAGAGGGAAGGGGCCGTAAGGGTGTCTGTAGTCAGAGGGGAGAGCCAGTGCAAAGGCCCTGAGGCAGGAATAGGGGGCTGGGAGTATGAGAAACCAGGGGAGCCAGTGTAGCTGGAGGGGAGTGAACTGAGGTCCAAAGTTGGGGGTAGGGGGAGGAAATTTTGCAGGGCCCTGGGCACATGGCTTTTACTGGGTTGAGGTGGGAGCTGTGGAGGGTTTCAAGTAGAGGAGGCCAAGGTCTGGCTTTAAGGGGGGTCAGTTCTTGGGGGCGGTGGGGAAGCGTGGTTGGTGGAAGCTTTCTTACCTTGATGTGACCCTGGAATCTAGCACGTTTCCAAAGTGAAGAGCCCAGTAAAGACCGCAGGCGGTGAGGGTGGACCTGGCTGGCTCCTGGACCTTCCTCTTGGGCACAGAGGGTATGGTTTCTGCTGTCCACTGACCCTCTGGGGAAGAAGGCGTGGCTTTACAGCACCGTCTCCTGCACATCTTTCACTCGCATAAAGGGCTTAGCAGAAGGGAAGGCTGCCAGCACACTGGGCTCTGGGAGGCCTCAGCTGGCAGGTTCTCGTCCCATAAACACGAGCCAGGGTAGTCTGGTTCTGACAGGGCAGGAGGCCCAAAATGTAGGATGGGGTGCCAGGTGGTGTGGAGTCAGTGAAGGCTCCCTGGAAGAGGCAACAGGCAGGCTGGCCTTGGAGGAGGAGGAGGTGAGTCCTGGCAGGTTTGGAGGGGCAGGGCCTGTGTCCTGGTACTCAGCCCCTGTCTCATCCTACATTCCCCTACAGTCCTGGAAGGAGGGTGGTATCTTACGAGTGCTGAGCCCAGGGCCTTGAACCGGAAGAAAGCTGATGTTTGCTTTGGGGGGTGGGGGACTGTTCCATTTTTGGTGACTGCTGCAGGAAGAGCAGCTGAGTATTTCCTCTTGTCCCTGTGGAGGGCTGGAGCATGACTGTCTTTGGGAACTGGGTCAGCTGATGGGAGTGGGGTGGTTGATCCTGCACCCTCCAGCCAGTGTCCTCACTGCCCTGCTCCTGAGTGGCCAGTGCCCGTATCAGACAAGATCCTCAGTGACCTGAGCCCACAGAGTCCCCCTGAGCCCTGCAGTGGAGGTTCAGAGAGGTGCAGAGCCTTCCTGTGCTTCACAAAGGCCATGTGACTTGAGAATCACTTCCTGGAGACAGATTACCTCTGAATTCCAAACCCCAGCCCCACCATTGACCTTGAGCCAGATCGCTTCACAAACTCTCTGACCTCAGTGTCCTCATCTGTGATACGGGCTTTATGGAGATGCCTGCCTGCTAAGGTGCTCACTCGTGAGGTGCAAAGGGGACCATGTGCCGGTCCTGACCAGAAGCAAGGGCTGACTATTGGCCACAGTTTGTTAAGGTCTGGTGGTGGGATGGCGAACCTCCTTGCATTCATTTCTTTATGCTGTGTTAAATCCTCTGGGTAGAGATTCTAGTCCTGCCTGGCCTTTCCCTGTCACAGACTCTTTCTGCATCCTTTGGAGGCAGCTGGTTCATCTGTGCTGTGATTTCTGTAGCCAGGTCTCCTCCTGGTGGACATCGAGGCTATTTCACTCTTAGACACAGAGCTGCAGTGCACACCTCTACGTCTCTGCTGTGGGCCAGGTTTTTAGGCTGTTGGTCAGCGAGACTTACTTCCATTTTTTCTGTCATCACTACAGAAGCCATGATCTCTGGGCCTAGAAGGTCCCCCCTCTCCAATATTTACTATGAAAATCCAAACCTATATAAGTCGAGGAATCATACAATAAACGCCTATAGACTCAGCGCCTGTGATGAATGTTTTTTAATTCCCGCTTTATCCGTATCTGTGCTTTGGATTTCTCTAGCTTAATGGTAGGACCAGAACTTTTAGTCACTTTTAAAATTACCCTTCATCTCAGTGTTAATGACAGCTTTCCGACACCCTGGGCTCAGAAGCCCTGAAGAGGCCAGAAAACATGTCTCCTGAGGGGTTCACATCTAGGTCAAGGGGGCCCCATGAGACTGAGGTGAGCTTTAGCCAGGTCAGCAGTGGCGTCCTGTTCCCCATCGTGCACGAGGGCCTTGGAGAAGGAGGACAATGAGTCCCACGGACACAAGCCAGGGGGCTCGTGAGACTGGAGGGCGCTGGCGGCTCAGAGTCCCAGTAGGGCAGCGGTTCGTGTCTCTCTTGACTGATCCACAGCGAGGGAGATGCTCCATCACCATCATCAAACGTACATCACCACGCTCCGGGTGATGTATGCTTGTATTTCTCTTGTGTTCCGTTCATGAAGAAAAAAGGGGGAAAAAAAAGAGTAAGTGCTGGTCACACCCACCTTGGTGGTGGTTTTGTTTTATTTTTTCACTTATAATGTGTCATGACATGTAGTTTTGCAGAATGCTTCAGGAGAATGTCCGTTCCCCTGAATTATGGTTTTTTGCCAGTTTTTGTACCTTGTGGAATCCCCAAGGTCTAGAAGGGGGCTCGGTCTCAGGAGGACCCCTTCAGATACTTGCCGAGAGAATGAATCTGTTGCTCCCCGCATTCCTAGAGGGCCTGGGACTGAGTCTTCATTTTCTCTGCTGGACAAAGCACATGTCCCAGGCTGTCTGCTCCCCACCCACAGTGAGACTGCTTCTCTTCCTCATTTTGAGTATCTTTCCTCCCTTTTCAGAATATGCCGAGTTTTTGCACTGCAAGTCCAAAAAGTTTACAGACTTTGATGAAGTACGACAGGAGATCGAAACGGAGACCGACAGGGTCACGGGGACCAACAAAGGCATCTCCCCAGTACCCATCAACCTGCGGGTCTACTCGCCACATGGTAGGCAGCAAGGGGCCTGCCACGTGGGGGCAGGTCCCGGGTGGTCATGGGTCAGGTCAGCCTCACTCTCGCAAAGAATATGCCCCCTCCTGTTTTCCTTCACCAGCAGGCAGCCCTCTTGATCTGTATCTTCCCATTTGTGATCAGAACAGGGTACTGAGAAATCGATCGCAGCTCGAAGGAAAACAGCATGCCAGGACTGTAGGGAGTGGTGGGGACAGGGGCAAAATGCAGCTGGTCTGTTCCTTTCAAAGAGGCAGCTGCGGCTTGGCTCCCAAGTGAATGATGGCCACACAGCGATGCCAGCCCAAGGCAGCCAAGTCCTCTTGTTCCTTAAAAGGAGCCAGAAAGCCAGAAATTTTTCTGCATAAGGTCCTGATCTGAAAACTGCATCATTTAAACAGAACAAGCAGCCTGTAACCGTGTACAATCTGGCGCAGTGGCAGGGATTGCTAACTGAGATGGCATCTGGTGAATCTTCCAGCCAGCTCTTAACGCCTCACTGTGGGTTCTCTGTGATGAGTTTTTAAATGTTTTTAATTTTTGAATAAATGATGCCTATACCTGGCTCATATTCAAAAGTTATAAAAGCAAAAACCTACCCTACCCCCGATATTACAGATATATTCTATGTTCTTTAAATGATACATGATGCATAAGTAGGCAGTTCTGTGTGGGCCACCACTTCTACTCACATCGTAGCATAAAATAAAAATCGTTGATGCCTCTTTTTTGTATAAATGCATCTCAGTGTGTTTCTTACCAGAATGTCATCTTTTTGTTTTTAATAATTGCTTGGTATTGGCTGAATCGACAAGCTGCAGTTTATTTAGCCATTGAGAGCAATTGCAATCTGCAAATGCAAACGTCCAGGTTTAAAACTGTCACTGATAATAACTGTGGAGTATAACCTCAGAAAATAACTGTGGAGTATAACCTCTGCATTACTGTGTTGTACACCTGTAACTTATGTACTATTGTACATCAGCTATACTTCAATTAAAAAAAAGAGTCACTTCATTAAAAAAAAAAATGGGCAGAGGGGTATAGCTCAGTTGGTAGAGTGTGTGCTTAGCATATACAAAGTCCTGGGTTTGATCCCCAGTACCTCCATTAAATAAATAAATAACACCTAATTCCCCCACCAATAGAAACCTGTATCACTGAAATAGAGCGCAGGGAGGGTGTCTGTAGGATGGGATCCTACAAGGAGCTATTGGGTCAAAAGTCAGGATCCAGTTGGAGCAGCCGGAGAAGTCCTGAGGCCTGACCCCCAGTGCTTGGGGAAGGGGGCCAGGTCCCTGCAGGGCTGTGCGTGCCTCCCCTCCCCCGGCTCTGATGGCCTTTCCCTCTGGTTTCCCTCCCAGTGCTGAACCTGACCCTCATCGACCTCCCGGGCATCACCAAGGTGCCTGTGGGGGACCAGCCCCCAGACATCGAGTACCAGATCAAGGACATGATCCTGCAGTTCATCAGCCGGGAAAGCAGCCTCATCCTCGCTGTCACCCCCGCCAACATGGACCTGGCCAACTCAGATGCCCTCAAGCTGGCCAAGGAGGTCGACCCACAAGGTAGCCACCAAGCCCCACAGCAGCTTCTCCCCTATCCTCGCGCCTCAGAGCACTGCGACTTGCCCTGCTTCCTTCATTCCAAGTCACTGGCGTTCTGTTTGGCACATGGCCTCCCTGGGAAAAAGCCTGGGACCCAGCATTTCCCACGAGGGCTGGCAGTGATGAGGGGGCATTCCCCTAGGAGGCCTTTGTGTGAGAGTTGGCATTCCTCCTTGGGCACGGTGGTCCCTGCTTCACCTGTGCAGAAACCTAGTTTAGGGGGCTGGGAAAAGCTCAGCCCTCCTTGGGTACAATGTGAGTCCAAATCCCACCTCTAGAAGTTTCCCTGAGGCTTGGTCCCTCCTGCAGGAGTGGGAACAGCAATCCTAACTTGTAGAGATGCTGAGAGGACTGGAGATCTCTCCATAACTGCTCAGGGGTCAGGCAGGGAAGGGGAAAGAATGATGAGGTAATGGAGCAAGTTGGGGCAGTAGGGAGTAGTAGAGACTGTGGCATCTCTGGCTCAGGGCATTCTGGGTCAAACTTTTCCCCTGGCCATTCTTTTAGTAAATGCCAGTTAAGCACCTGCTATGTGCCAGGCTCTGTTTCCACCTTGGGGACAGAATTGACTGGGGCCCTTCTGGTATGGGAGACAGAATCCAGCAAGGAAATAAGCCATTGGGATAACTTCAGGTGGTGGACAGCACTGGAAGAAAAGAGAACCCTTTAAGGGTGGCCAGGGTGGGATGGGGGTCAGGAGCCTCTGAAGATATGAGGTTTTATACAAGACCAAAATGATGAAAAGAAGCAAAATTCAGCAAGACGAACAGTGGGTGCTAAAGAAGCGGGGTGTACTTTGACCCTGGGGTGCCCAGGACACAGCAGGGAGGCCAGTGCGTGGCTAGAGCCAGGTGACCAAGAGGAAGGACAGGGGAGGTGAACATTTTCTATAGAGTCGATACCCCTAGACCCCTTCCCCAGTTAAATCTCTCTGTTTCGAGCTGCCTCTCCCTTCCCCACCTGGCACAAACTTTGTGGGTATTCATGGTGGTGGCTCCTTTACTCTCCAGAAAGGTGATGCCAGTGCCCATGGCCATCACCCCTGTAACACCCATCTTAGCACCCACCAGGGGTCTCCCTAGGCTTCCCTCTGTATGTACGTATGTACTTACACACACACACACACACACACACACACACACACACACGGCTAGCACAGAGGGCCCTCAGGCACACACACACACACACACACACACACACACACACACGGCTAGCACAGAGGGCCCCTCAGGCACCGGTGGGGGCAGCTGATCGGCAGGGTTCCCTTGATTCTGGGCAAACTGCAGCGAGGAGGAATTCCATGGGTTCCAGAGTGGAATTTTGGCCATTCAGGTGAGAAGTTACCCTAGAAACAGTCGTCGTGGGTTTGCACGTTACATTGGGACTTTGCACGCAACCCAGAGAACACAGCATGGAGATTCTGACCTGGGGTTCAAGTTCCATGAGGTTTCTCTCTGACGCTGCAGCAGCAAGATGCTGGTGCTGATCGTACCAGTGACGGTGGTGGTCCGCGTTTCCTGGTTGAACGTTTGCCCCGTGCTAGGCTTATCCTCATGGACCACCCCCTTAGACTGTTGTGTTACTGTCTTCATTTGACCTGAGGGAAACTAGGGTCCAGGCAGGTGATGTTACGGCTTGTCCCTGATTACATGGCGTGAAAGTGGGGGGCCCAAGTGGACCCCAAGTGGCCCAGGGTCGCCAGCCCGTGCTGCTTCCTCATGGCGCCCTCTGACCTCTGCTCTTTCAGGGCTGCGGACCATCGGCGTCATCACCAAGCTCGACCTGATGGACGAAGGCACCGATGCCAGGGACGTCCTGGAGAACAAACTGCTCCCCTTGAGAAGAGGTACAGCTGGGGGGCCACGGGGTCAGGGGGCCGGTGGGGGCGGGGAGGTCATGCAAGACAGGTGGGCTGGAGGGGCAGGAGAGCTGGTGCACCTCTCTTTGGAAAACAGTTTTTGTTACTTTTATTGAAACCTCAGCAAATGCTCACAGATACACTCAGTGACATCCCTTCCCCGTTGCCCAGAAGGAGCTGTTTTTCCGTTCCATTGTCAGCCCTTCTCTTTTCTCTGCCCGAGTGAACACAGGTATCTGTCTCTCCTAATTTGTATACATTCATTTTTCAGTTGCCAGGCAAACAGCTACTCATCTTGGGAACATAAACAGGTGTCCAGAGAAAGGAAACTGAAATTGTCCACAGCCGACTTCTCCCCCTAGTTACTACCCTGCGGCTCTCCTTCCCAGAAGTTCCTGGGATTTTGACTCTTATTAACGTTCGTACTTGCTCTCTGTCAGGAACATTCTCAGTCTTGAAAGTGGAAGGGAAAGTGCGAGGAGCTCCTGGCCCAGCCTCCCTGCTTGTCACACGCAGCTAATCCTCAATCCCTGACCGCACCCACCCTGGCATACCCGCTCCTGGTGTCCTCTCCTTCCCGGGTGAATCCTAGGCAGCGTATCGTTTTGCACATAAATACTTAAGTTTCTGTGCAAACAGCTCCCCCTCCAGCCGCTCTGTCTTTATGGCCTGTTTGTGGAAGAAACCAGATCGTGTCGCACACTCAGGATCTGGCCAGTTGTAGTTCCCTGTGAGGGGACATTAGACCTAGACGGGAGCCCAGTTAGACTCAGGTTCAGGTTCAGACCTTCTGACAGGAGTAGCCTAAGGAACTTTATTTTTAAAAGATGAGACTAGCAAACACTAAGTATCTATTACATATCAGGCACTGTTCTGCGCTCTTGGCGTGGAAGAACCTGTTTAATCCCGATAATGATCCAAAGCAGTGGCTCTGTTATCCCTGTTTTATGGATGAAATGACTGAGGCACAGAGAGGCTAGATCCCTCGCGCCAGCTCACAAAGCTGATTTGGACACCATCGTCTCCAGTGCCATGCCACTTTGTGACCTGCTTTACCATTTCACTTAGCAGAATATATCCCCATGAGAGGCAAACCCTCTTCAAAATGGCTTTAAAAGTCCTGAGGGGTCCTTCATATGGGGGTGCATGGGCCAGTACTCAGTCCCCATTTGTTGGACACTTAGGTCAATCCCCGTTTGTCACGGTGGCGCAGTGTTGAGTGTCCAGTGAGGTTTTTATTTGTTCTTTAGGCCATTTCTTCTGTGACTGTTTCCCTTTGCCTGTCCTCCTGTCTGGGATCTGCTCGCAGTGTAAGCCCTTTTTGGCCCTCGGGCCTTGCCAGCATCATTTAGGTCATTTCTTTTGCTTCTGGGGTGCCTGTGACATCCCAGGTGTGGGAAAATCGTCTGACCTTGGTTTCCACCTGCCCCCCTCTCTGCAGGGATATGAGCAGCAAGGGGTAGCCCTGGATCAGGATAGAGCAAGATCAGGGGCAAAACCCAAAATTCCGTTTGGCTGCGGGGATCAGGGGCTGAAGAGCGAGCCCATGTTTGGAGGTTTAGGCAGGAAGGCTCAGTGCTGAAGAGGAAAGCAGGACCCCCCTCACCCCCATACCCTCCACAGTCACCCCAACCCTGCGCTCCCTGCACTTGTCTTTGGCCAGCATCTTAGACCGCGAGTGACCCTAGCTGGGCTCAGCATTGCCCCCCGAGTAGGTGGCTGTGCTGGCCCTCCCAGCTTCCTTCCTCCACTCACACTTGTGCTCGTCTTCCCTCCTCTGCCCCCCTGTGTGTTTCCAAGAACAATGACTCATCCTCTCCCCGCTCCCTTGCACGCTTCATCCTGACTTAAAACCTCAGGCTTTCTCTCTGTTTCCTCCTCCACCCCATGGCTTTCCAAATCCCTCCAACTGGATCCTTTTTCTTGGCTTACAAAAGACTCAGGACCCCTGCTCCTTCAAAGGAAACAAACCAAAGCAGACACTGTCTCTACCCCTGCTGTTTCTTTCTGCTCCCTGTTACCCAGGCAGTTGTGAGTTTGGGCTTCCCACAGATCTGGGTTCTCCTGATCCTCTCCGAGACCTTGGGCAAGGGGCCCCTCCTTGGTGTGCCTCAGTTCCCTCATCTGTGAAATGGCCATGATGACAGTCACGGAGAGGACAAAAAGTCAGGTCCACATAAGACTTGACAAGAAACAGCCAGTGCCATTCCCCCTCCACCCCCCAAAATGTCAAATGACCCCCACTAAGAAAAGGGGGTTCATACGTGTGTTCATGACTTCAGGCCTTTTGCCACCTATGCCCAATCCACTTTCCAGCTTTAATTATGTGAATAACAACAGCCACATTTGTACTAAGCACCCGCCACGGGTGGGCCACTAAGGGCTAAGTTCTCTGCTTCCCACGACTCCCATCTGTACACCTGTACTGTGGGCTGCCCCGTGTTCTGGCTTTTTGAATTCCACCGCCTTCCCTCTTCCTCTTCCAATTCCCTTATGTCTAAATATTGTAGCTCTTTTCTTCAAACTGGCATTTTTATCCCAAAAACAGTTTTTCATGCTTAAAAACATTGCAGAATGGTACTGGAATCTGTCTCTCTGCCCCTCTTCCCCTAAGTCTCACGTCTAATGTCGTCACCAGTAACTTTCTTATTTCCATTCAGAAGATTGGAACACAAATACAGTAATTTGAAAAGTCACCCATGCTTTCTTCAAGTATTTCTAGTTTTATGTTTTATGTGTAAATCTATGAGTTGTTGAGAGTTCATCTTGGCGGGCACCCCGAGCTGGGTTTCTTTGCCAACAGTGACCCTTGGATAATCAAGCTTTCCTCCACTGGATTTGAGTCTTAGTTAGTGGATGTCGTTTTGGACTTTCTCTTCTGTTTCATGCATCTCTCAGGACCTACATGACCTGACAAACCCAACTTCTTCAAATATAGTAGCTTCAGAATAGTTATTAGTACCAGCAAGATTAGCCATCCCCCATTGCCCTTCTCTCTGAAATTGTTTTTTGTGTTTAAAGCTCAGTCTGTGGATTTCATCTTCTCTAAAGCTTTTCTCTCTCCAGCCCCTCATGCCAGGACAGATGTGATATCTCCTTCTTCCCAGCACTTATGTTGCTTTTCGGGACTGTTCTGCATCCTCTGTGTTGCTTTCGAGTCATGAATACGGCTTGTCACCCAGTCTGTGAGTGACTTGTAGGGCAGGATCCCTGTCTCCACTGGCACCTTGCCCGGCCTCATGGCTGGTTCGTAGTGGTGTCTGAGCATCTTGGCTGGCCTGCACTGCCCTGCCCTGACTCTCTCTCCCCACAGGCTACATCGGCGTTGTGAACCGCAGCCAGAAGGACATCGAGGGCAAGAAGGACATCCGCGCGGCACTGGCGGCCGAGAGGAAGTTTTTCCTCTCCCACCCGGCCTACCGGCACATGGCTGACCGCATGGGCACCCCACACCTGCAGAAGACTCTGAACCAGGTACAGTGAAGGTTCTGTGCAGTTGTTCAGGCTGTGCACTGCACAACAGCTGCAGTCCACAGTGGCACTGGCCTTGGTCTAGAGCAACACTTGTTTTAGCAAAATAGGTTCAGCTGACATTGGACTCAGGACCTGGTGAAGAGTGGGTGTTCAGGAAGTTGGCACCAGTACTCTTATTCCCATCACTACTACGGTTACTGTTACTTTAATTACCACTGTAATTATTTAGTCACATACCCAGAAGTTTGCATACAGTTCCTGACACTGATGACCTGGGTTACGAATGCCTCACCTGAATCAAGGTAGAGAGGCTGGTGGCACTAGATGGTAGGTAAGCAAGAGGACTTTAGGGCCTGACTTTCTTGAATCCAAAGCTTAGCCCAGCCTTTCTGAGCCTCCCTCCCCTGTCCATCAATTGGGAGTTACCACCATCCCTGCCTCTCAGGCTGGCGTCTGCTAAGTGTTCATTGCATGTGCTGCATGAAATGCAGGACGTATCCAGTGCTGGCAACTCGAGTATTTCATTGCTTTTCTCTTACTCTTTTTTCCCACAGGTAGTATATTCACAAGGTTCATAAACAAAACCAGTATTTAAAAGTCTATGGTGAAGCGCCCTGCACTTCCCTTTAGGTCACCACTGTTAATACCGCCTGAGTTTCTTTCTGTCTATAAAATCTAAAAGGACTTTTGAGAATCATATTTCTCCCTTTCTTACTATAGATGATCACATAGTTGTGGGTACCCTCCCCCTGGCTTTTTTTTTCCCCTCAGCAATATCTCCTGGGGCTCTGTCCCTGCTGAACAGAAACCTTTCCCCATCTTTTTCATGACCGTGTGGTCGTCCTTGAACACATGGGTCCTAGTCTGTTTACCCAGGCTCTTTTGGGAGGGCCGCTTGGCTGGTTTCTCATGTTCCTAGTCAGTAAAAGGCTGCCGTTAACGACATCACTTTGCACACGTGCCAGTCCATCGATTTCTCCGGGGAATGAAGTCCCCAAATTACGTAGCTGCATGGTAGCAGGGAGCAAGGTTCTTAGAGCTGTCTCAAGTGGCCCGGGCTCGCAAGGAACTCCCCCTTGATGCTGTGTGGTAGCATCCTGGATGGGGGCAGGGCCTAAAAACGGCAACCTGAGAGTCCCTCATGCGTGCAGTGGCCATGTGGCAACGTGGGAGCTAGGCCTTGTCCTTGGGGAAGGTGTATTTCTAACTGGGGGCACCGACTCGGAACAGGTCCTCAGATAAACACACGACCAAGGGCTTGGCAGTGACGGGGCCTGGGAAGAGGGCTGGTGCGGGGCAGGGTGGCCAGAAGGCAGCTCTGGAGAACGAAGAGGGAAGTAAGGGGCCCTCCAGGAAAGGAAGCAGGGGTCTGCCTGGGCAGGGGGCGGAGAGAGAGGAAGGGAAGTAAAACTCCCCGCAGGTGTCTGGGGCCTCCTCAGAGCCGCAGGCAAGCAGCCCAGCTGGCCTCCCGGGGGCTTGGCCCCACATCCTGGTGCTTCCTGCAGCAGTGGTCCCCAGCCCCTCTGGTGCCCCATGAGCTAAGTGGGGCAGCTGTAATGGGCCGGGATGCTCTCGGGAACCGGAGTGGATCCCCACCCTTGGGGGCTTGCAGCTTCCATGGGGGGGGCCACAGGACTTTGGGGTGACCATCTGGTGCATGCCACAGAGTGTGAGTCTCCTTCACACCTCTTTCCCAGCTTGATGGATAGTTTGTAATTTCTTTGGTATTATATGACAGTTGGTCACAGGACGCTGCTCCTCACTTTTGGGGTTTTAGCTGATTTTAGGGGTTTTAGCTGATTTTATGGCTTTTGTTTTGCCATTTTCTTTTTCTCTTTTTTTATTGTAGTTAAAAAAAAAAAAGACAGTCCAAATATAGTGAATGTCCCACTTCCTCCCACCCTGTGACATGTCCCTTCCCCAGAGGCAGCCAGTGTCACCACTTCCCAGGCCTCCTAGAGACAGTCCAGACACTGGAGAGGCCAAAGTGCCCCTCCTGCCTTCCCCGCTTCCTCCTGCCTCGCTTTTCCTTCCCTTCTCCCACCTGAACAGCAATGTCTTTACCCACTGTTCTGTATCCAGCTTTTTCTCCACTGACCCATCTTGAGGCTGCCTGCCTAACCTTTTCTGCACCACTGCTTCCTTTTAAAATCTGTGAATAATTGACAAGTCCATGTGGTTCAGAAGCAGAACTGCAGAGGAGAGGGGGCGGCAGTGAGGGGTCTTCCTTCCCGCCTGCTCCGTTCTGCCCTTCTCTCATGACCCATCCCTCACTCTGTTTGAGCAAATGAAACGATGTTCTGACTTTCTCCCTGTCTTTATGGAAGGGAGCACATCATATGTATGTTTTCTGTCCTTTTTGGTGAGCTGTTTCCATCTCAGTTTGGCCTGTCCCCTGTGTGCCTTCCCCGAACCAGTGTCCCATGGTGTGGACGCATCATCATCCGTGTGGCAGTCTTTCCGTGCCTGGGTCCTGCGGTGGCTTCCTAGGCTTTTATCACTGAGTGGCAATTTGCTCTTATGGGAGGCTGTTCTGGGTCAGCATTTGGGTCCCTCTGCCTGGTACTTGGAAACAGTTACCTGTGGTCCGTGGTGTGAGCAGCCCAGTTGATCTGCCCTTCCAAGGCCTCGTGAGCTGCTGGCGGCATCTCAAGGCTGTGGGCCAAGCTGTGCCCCATCTCTCTGCCCCTCGTGCAAGTGTGACTCCAGCTCTTGCGGCTGGAGACTGTGCTGGGCTTGGGGGCACATCAATGAATGGGCCCTCGGCAGGCGGAGCCGGCCTGCCCTTTCTCAGCTTCCTGCCCATGCTGACCTCTGACCTCTGGCGTCTCTCCCACAGCAACTGACCAATCACATCCGGGAGTCGCTGCCGGCCCTGCGCAGCAAGCTTCAGAGCCAGTTGCTGTCCCTGGAGAAGGAGGTGGAGGAGTACAAGAACTTTCGGCCCGACGACCCCACGCGCAAGACCAAAGCCCTGCTACAGTACGTGACCGGCCTCCAGCCTGGCGCACAGGGGCCTCCACCCAGCCGCAGGCTCCCGCTGCCAGGCTGGGTGCCCATCCTCAGTCTTCCCTCCTTTTGTTCCACAAAGACTTGTCCAGAGTCTCCGGGGTGCTAGGCCCTGTCCGGAGCACTGGGGTTACCCCAGCAAACTGGGCAGGCACCCCATGTGCTCAGAAAGGGGAGAAGAGGAGGGAGGAAACAAAATAAGTAAATAAGAACATGTATCATGTGTGCTAAGTGCTGCAGTGTTGAAGTGGGGAAAGGGGCTAAGGAGTGCAAGGGTAGACATGGGGATGCCATTTAAAATATAGTGGTTGGGGGGAGGATATGGCTCAGAGGTAGAGCACATGTTTATCATGCATGAGGTCCTGGATTCAAGCCCCAGTACCTCCATTAAAAAAATAAATAAATGAATAAATAAAATAGAGTGGTCAGTGAAGGCCTCCCTGAGATAGTGAGGTAGGCAAAGACCTAAAGAGGTGAGGAAGGGGGCCATGCAGGGTCCTGGGGATGGGGCCCAGCCAGTGCAAAGGCCCTGAGGCAGGACTGTGTCCAGCTGTTAGAGGAGGCCCATGTGGCTGGAGCAGAGTGAGCAAGGTGAGATTGGGAGGAGGTAAAGGCAAGGAGGGAATAGGGTGGAGCCTGCAGGGCCTTGTGTGCCATGGGGAGGACTTTGGCTTTTGCTCTGAGTCAGGTAGGAGCCGTGGAGGTTTCTGAGCACTGGCAGGACATGGCCTGACTCAGATGCTCACGGGCACCCTCTGGCTGCTGTAGGAAGAACAGACATGGGGGAGGGAGCCATGCCGAGTTGTCGGCAACTTCTGCTTGATTTCTTAGAATCCTCACCCTGAATCTAAGAAAGTGCTCCCTGCAGCTGCCAGCTGTGAGATGGAGCAGTAGGTATGAGGTGGAGGAGTGGGTGTACCCCACGATCCTGGGTTCTTACCCAGGGCCTCTCCTGCTTCCACATTCCTGGTTTCTGCCCTGCCAGGGACCCTCAGCACTAAAGTGGGATCCAGAAGCTCCTTGGCAGTTCAGATGGTGCCATGCACAAGACCCCTCCCACGGGCACACTAGGGGGACACTGTCCTCTATGGCCATCATAGACCTGATGTCCCCCCATCCTCTCTGCCACGTGGCCACGCACAGTGGTAGGATCCAGGGTGAGAATCAGACAGCCTCAACTGCATTCCAAAAAGCTTTCTGCAGAGCCCAAGCTGGCCCCTTGCAGACTTCAGGTGGCTATTTGGTCTAGCATGTCCTTCAGAGGCTGCGGCCTGGGGCTGAACCTGGGCCTGCTGGGCAACCACAGGCCGGTGGCCAGAGGTCTCTGGGCCTTCCTTGCTTTCCTCGCCCCTAAAAGGAAGACAGTAGCAGCCATCATATCACATGGCCATTGGGGAACCTTGTGAAAATGCTGCTCTTGGGGCCCTTGACCGAGACTGCCCAGGGAACACCCTCCACAAACGGTCCCCATCCCCTGGGGCCTAACACCTTGTGTGCTCTCTCCCCAGTGCTCTGCGACCCTGTCCGGCTGGTTTTGACCTCACAGTAGGGTGCACGGCTGTCATCTGCGGCCCCTCAGTGAGGCCTGCTGTTCCTGCTTTAGCATTTATCTGTGGTCCCAGATCCTCCTGCTGGCTGCGGGCCGCACAGACCAGCGACGAGCAGGGGCCTTTGCTTCTCCCTTCCTTGCCAGCGGGTGTCCCTTTGAATGGCTTGTTGGGTGACATCCTCCTCGGCCTCTGTTATAAGATGGCTGCCTTCACGTGTACAAAGGGTTGGCTTTGAAAACTACCCCCCCCCCCGCACCCTGGTTCCCGCCTTCAGGCTCTCGCCTTACAAGAGAATGAGCGCAGTGGCACCAGACCTTCCCCCAGTTCTGCCCTTTTGTAGGCGGTGGAAGCATCATTGAGAACCTTGCATTTCCTGTGGCTGCCCGTAGGGGACATGCGGGTATTTTTTTTGCTTCAGTAGAGGCTTCTCAAGTTCACCGTTGAGCACAAGGCCAGGATTTCTGCAGGGCTGACTCCTACAAGAGGGATGGCTGGCTTGAGGAGCACTTGAATTTGAGTTGATAGCATGGACTGGTTACTGGGCGCATTCCCCCGGCTCCCACATGGGCCCAGTATGAACAGAATGGGTCTCAGTTGGAGCCAGTGATGGAAAAGCTCACTGCTTTTACTTTTATCAACATTGTTACCATGATAGGTTGTTCTGGGCCTGGCTTTCTCCTCCCAGGTGCAGCTTAGTCGTTGCTCTGTGTCAGGGAACCAGCATGACCTTCACCCCTCGCTCCATCCTGTGACTAGAACACAGGTCACTTAAAACCCTGGCAGGTTCTTTCCCCAGCCAAGATGATTGGGGGAATTTTTCAGACCAGCCCTAGTCCCTTGGCTTTTGTGCTTTGCATCTGGTGCTCTCTCCTTCTAGAACTCGGAGCAGGAATGTGTGTTCCCTAGATGTGCAGTTGTGGCTCTAAACTCAGGACTCTTCGTCTCTAGTGCGTGCTGGTTGTCTGTAGGTATTTTCCTTGCCAGGCTTGGGTGTATTCATTTGCTGTGGCTCCTGTGTACCGTGAACTAGGTAGCTTAAACTAAATTAGAGAGCTGTCATCTCATAGTTCTGTACGCTGAATGTCCAAAATCAAGGTGTCCGCCGGGTTGGTTCCTTCTGAGGGCTTCTGGTGGCTTACTGGCAACGTTGGGGTTCCTGGTCTCTGTCTTATCTTCACATAACGTTATCCCTCAAATGTGCGTCCAAATTTCCCCTTTTTCTAAGGACACCAGTCACATTGGCTCAGGGGCCCACCCTCCTCCAATACAACCTCATCTTAACCAATGACATCTGCAAAGATGCTGTCTGCAGTAAGTTCACATTCTGAGGTACCGGCGGTTAGGACATCAACGTGAATTTGGGGGGGGCCCTGTTCAACTCATGACAGTTGGTAGAGGCTCCACGAGTGCAGCTCCGACTCCAGGGCCCCCAGGAGGCTGGGGCTCACGTGTGCTGCATCTTTCCCCTTCCGAGGCTGGTGGCAGGTGGCGGAGGCTCCATCCTGGCCCTGAACCACTCTCCCGCTCTGTGGTCTGTCTTTGCTGTAGCACTAAGCGTTTTACAACCTTGGCCCTGGTTTAGCCACCATTCAAGGTCCCAAGCCCAAGTGCAGCATTTAACATAGGCCATTGTGTGTCTTTGGGAAGGAAGTCAGATGTGCACACTGTCTGCTTCCAGTGGGCAGATTGCTTCTGGGGATCTGGGACACCCTGTGAGTGACCCCCTGGGTATTCAGGGAGAACCCCATTCATTGGTGGCCCAGCCTCACCGCCCTGGCAGCCTGCAGGCATCAGCCGTATTTGCCCGTAAGAGCTGGACTTCCCTGTGCTGCAGAACTGCAGGCCCAGTGGGGGGCTTGTGCCCATTGGAGCAGCTCCCCTTCTGGGGAAACTCCACACACTACGTGAAATTAAGAATTTGAAGAATGGAAGTGGGGAAATTATTAAAGCAGACAGTGCAAGGAACTAGGGGAAGCAATGAGAAATGCTAAAGAAAACCAGAGCACTAATAAATATCTTAGTTCTTCGCTGCTCACCTTGTCACGGTACTAGCCAGCAGCACTTAGAGACACTTTCTGAGGGCTGGGTTCTGAAGGGACATGCATGGCGTTACCACATTTCATCAATGATGTGTGCACTTTTAATTTCTCAAATCAGAAGATTCAGGTGAATTACTATTGGCAGCATTTTCCTTTTTCATGGGTGTACGGACTAATGAGGGCTGGTGCCTTCTTTGAGTTGATGAAATCTAGAAACTCCTTAGATCCTTCCATGGACCTTGTGTGGATGTGCTGTTACAATCAACCCACTTTGCAGATGAAGAAACTGTGGCTCAGAGGACAGAGCCACCTGTCCAAGGCCTCCCAGCCCCTCAGTGGTGGAGTCTGGACCTGGAATTTGGCAGGAACCAGTAGAATTGAATTGTGTGGAGGGGCTGCCTTTTCATGTCGTGGTCCTGACGGATCAGGCCAAGTCTCACGGTGAAGGTTGCTAAGCTATGACCCTTACCACCCCCCAAACCCCGCACCTCACTCTTGCCATCTGCAAAGTGGGAGTTATAACCGCTCCCCACCCCCAGTTCAGTGAATGAAGAATTGTAGCAGGCCTGGTGTGTGGCAAGTACTTGCCATTGGCAGCTCCTGGATTTTGTTTTATTTTGGGGACCCACACATACGTTTTGCTGCTAAAAACTGAAAAGAGGAAAGTAAACTGTGACTTGACTCGGACATAATCCAGAAGCTCTGCTTTGATGTTCGGGTTTTCTTTTTCCTGGTAGGATGGTCCAGCAGTTTGGGGTGGACTTCGAAAAGCGGATCGAAGGCTCTGGAGACCAAGTGGACACACTGGAGCTCTCTGGGGGCGCCCGAATCAATCGCATCTTCCATGAGCGGTTTCCCTTCGAGCTGGTGAAGGTAGCGCTCCACGGGCTGGGACCTCTTGTCAGTGGGCAGGCACCCCCCTGCCTCCAGGCCCAAGCCTGCTGTGGGCCGAGTACAGCTCTGGGGAGGTATCCCCACAGGCCTCCTTCTCTGAGCGGACAGCTTAGAGGTTTCCAGCAGAGCTATATGAAGAGTCCCATTTTTTTCTTCTGACAAAAACCAATACATGTTCTTTGCAGAATACGTAAAAAATAGAGGTGAAGTCACTTGAGAAAATGTTCCCAGCATGTGGTTGAAAGGGAAAAAGCAGATTCTGGAGCCAGCATGCACAGCATAACGTACAGATGATATTTATAGCATCCTTTGTATGAAATCGTACGCACGCATCTAGATGTGTGTCTTAGCAGAGCAGAGCTGCAAAGATATTCACAAAAGTGTCAGCTCTGGGTGCTAGGACTGGAGATTTTCTTTTTTCTTTTTCTTTTTTTAGTTGCTTGAAGTTTTACACTTTTTACAGTGAGCACATATCACCGTTGTAAACACCAGTCAAGTTCTTTTCAATAGGAGAACAAAAGCTAACAGGAGAAAAACACCCATAATCCTAATACCCAAAGATGATGCCATTTAGCACATGGGTGTGTGTCCTTGGAGAATTATTCCTGTGCAAATGCAGGCAAAATCTCCACAGACACAGCACTTACGTTCATCCATGCCTGCGTGTGCATATATATTACAAAAAAAAATGTATCTTGATACTGTGGTCCTTTCATATGGCGGCCGTCTTTTCAAATTACATTTTGTGCATTGTGAATCGCAAAATACTATCTTATTTTATGGTTGTCTCATCATGCATTTAACCAGTCTCCCATTGTTGGACATTATGGTGTTTGCATGTCTTTCGGCAATTCTGGATAGTTTTGTGACTGTTGGTAATTCTTGATTAATTTCTCAAGATGTATTTCTAGAGCATTTAAAACTATCTGGCGTCTATATAGGTATGTTTTTAGAGGTTCTTTCTTTGTACTGTCAAATAGCACAGAAGAAAATTTCTACGAGTTGATTCTCTTTCCAAACGAGCATGAATGTTAGTTTCAGAACATCCTTGCTGAAATCGAGTTTTAGTGTTTTTAAATTTTTTGGCCAATTAAATATTCTAGGTGTGGGGGTATAGCTCAGTGGTAGAGTGCCTGCTTAGCATGCACAAGGTCCTGGGATCAATCCCCAGGACCTCCAATTAATTAAATAAATAAATAAACAAACTGAATTACCTCCCCCACCAAAAAATAAACAAATTAAAAAATATATATATTCTACCACGTGAATACGAATGGTACACAGAAGATAACATTCCCCGAATACAGGCCTAGTATTGGGGTGCCCCAGGGACCTCCTTGCATGTGTTTGGTTTGTCTATTCTCAGATGGAGTTCGATGAGAAAGACTTACGGCGGGAGATCAGCTACGCCATTAAGAACATCCACGGAGTCAGGCAAGTTCCACGGGGAGAGTTGCCATGTTCCCTTTGCCTTCACGGTGCCATCCTGCAGCCAGTCAGTCTCCCCAGACCTCTGGGCACCGATTGTGAGACCTGGAGAGGGCACCAAGGTGGTTTTCAGTAGCTGCAAGTCTCTCCCTCTGGCTCTCCCAGGGCACTTGAGGGTAGATGTGCTTAGTTCTGCGTGGGTGTCGTAGGTCCCCGGGCTGTCCACTGCCCTTGGGTTAAACATTGGTTAAACCACCCAGTCACCATGGTCAGTGAAGTAAGAAAGCTCACTGCAGAAGTGCCCTGGGGGGTGGGGAGGGAGTCAGAGCTGAGTCAGGATCCAATCACAGGAACCCAGCATTTGTCCCCATCTCGGATGCCCCGTGAGCCTCCTGGGTCCCCACTGTATTCCAGCAAAAATCATCACTCCCATCCTCCTGTCTTGCATCACCGCGGGGTCCTCACGTCACCCCCGGGGGCTCCAGGTAGTGGACGCAGGCATCCTCGTCAAACCCCTAGACTTGCTGCGACCTTGGCTTTCTCGGGAACCCGGCTGGTGCCTGTGAAATTGCTGACCGTGCTTTGTTTCTCTCTGACTTATCTCCCCTGCCCCCGGGTACGGATGCTTTTAGGACCGGGCTCTTCACCCCGGACTTGGCATTCGAGGCCATTGTGAAAAAGCAGGTCGTCAAGCTGAAAGAGCCCTGTCTGAAATGTGTCGACCTGGTTATCCAGGAGCTAATCAATACAGTTAGGCAGTGTACCAGTAAGGTATTGGACCCTCGGCAGGGTGACTCCTGGCCTTGTGGAAACGGGGCTACGGGGGTTTGGTATCAGGCTCCCAGTGCTGTTAAGCCTTTGCCCCGCTAGTCCCCTACCTCTCCTTCCCAGATTGGCTCCGTTTCCAAGAACATGACCTCTTCCCAGAGGCTGGGGCGGGAGCATTTCGGCCTGGGTGCAACTTTGGAGGTACCAGGCCTCCAGACTCCAGACTGGTGGACGGGGCTCCCTGGGACCCTGATACCAAGCTTAGCATGTGATGGGGGTTTTGTTGGGCTGTCGCTTTGCTGTCTTCTGGGTAGCGGAGAGGGACCTCGCGTCACCTGCTGGAGGCCAAGCTCCCTGAGCCTCCCTGCCCCTCACCCCTCCTTGAAAATGCCTGGCGCCCTCAGGCTTTCCTGGGGTCAGCCACTTCTCTGTCTCGGAGATGCTGAGAAAGGCCAGAACACCAACAGCATCATGAGCGCTCCATCCCAGGCTCAGCCCCTAATGGTCTCTACCAGCTCCCCTGCCCTCCACCTTCAGCCTCAGGAGCGGTGCTGTCCCCCCAGGCAGCCTGTCCTCTGATCCCCTAGGTCACCAGCACCCTTGTGCCCGTGGTCACAGGCCACTGCCTTCCCCTGGCAGGACACGCCGGCTCTCCATGGGCCGCTGCCCAGGGGGGCACGCCTTGGCCAAGCAGCTGAAGCGCTTCCCGGTGGGCGGTTTGCGCTTGCACGTCTGCGATGGCCGTGGAGCTCTGGGTCGGCCTTTGAGGCAGAATATCTGCTTGATCCTTCTGTTCTCAGTCTGGAAAAGCCCACATTTGCTTCTTAAGCTTCTTCGATTGGAAAAAGGAGAGGAAAGAAACCCAGATTGGGAAAAAAAAGAAAGAAAGGAAGAAAGAAATATAGGTGGTTTGGAGACTACTGTCCCAGAGCCCATTGTCACAAATAAGAATTGAAGGGCCTCCCCCTGCCCTGGGCTGTCCGTACCCTGACACTGACCCGTAGGACTTCCATAATTAAACCCCAGACCAGGCCCATCCCTTGGACCGAGGACACCTCTTGATCCGAAGCAGCTTCTGGGGCAAATGCGGGCGCAGGCTCCTCCTTGCATGTCACTAACCAGCTGACTCTCGTTTCTTCTCTCTCTGTCTCCCGTCCCTCGTCCCGTGTGTGTGGCCTGCACTTCCCCTGGGTGTCTTTCTACCTCATCCCGCCCTCCGCATGACCCAGGACGGGGCTCTTCACCCCCGACATGGCCTTTGAAGCCATTGTGAAAAAACAGATTGTAAAACTCAAAGAGCCGAGTCTGAAGTGTGTTGATCTCGTGGTCTCAGAACTGGCCACAGTCATTAAAAAGTGTGCCGAGAAGGTAACGGAAGGTTTCGTTATTATCACCTACGCATTTGTCCCTCATTTTCTCCTTCCCATTGTTAGTCTTAACCCGAGCATCTGGGAAGCTCTGCCTCAGCAGGAACCCCCTTCCGCGGGCCAATGTTTTCACGGGGACATCTCAGCTTTGCCTCAGCAGACACAAGGTGGGGGGTCCAATCCCACACGGATTCCACCTTTGCCGTTTGGGCCACTGTCGGGGACAGGAAGCCTTTGCTGTTGCCAGATGCATTCACTAAGCAGGCAGCAGGGATGAGAGTCCAGTGCCCATCCCTGGAACACCTTGAGAAAGTGGGTTTCTAACCTGTCACCAGCATGGTGAAACGCATCACCAGTGGCAGACCTCCATATTCTGACATCATGGGGCACTTAGGAGGTTTTCCACGAGTAATTTTGACCACTTGCTCAGTTTTCCCCAACTTGTGGACTTAACCCAGTCTGTGGAAGGTGGGCTCCTGTGCGTTGGGTTTGGTTGCTGCTGCAGAGGCTGGGGCAGTGGAGGTGTGGGAGGAGTGGATCCCAAAGGAGAGTTGATCGGGGTTTTCCGCAAGGGGGTCCCTCTGAGGTAGACGGCCCGGATGCTGCACCCCCACTCCTAGAACAGGTGCTGAGCGGGGGGCCCCCGCCCTGGTGGCCCAGCGGCTTTAGTTAAACTGTGTCCTCACGCTCATCCAGTGCTATGGGGATGTGGGAGGATGGCCATCACCTGCTTTCTCTGCCACTTGCCTCCTCTGAATTGCATTCCTGAAAAGCATCTCTGCTTGCGCGTGGGCACTCTCAGTCTCTCTGGCCCGCCGTCCCCCCACCATCTCCTTCCTGTCTCTCAGCTGAAGCAGCTGTGAGATGGGAGTAGGGTGGGGACTCGGTGGGCCCCCCCCCGTCACCCCTCTTCCCCTGTGTTTTCTGTTTGGTTCACATTGCTTCGGTGCCATGGGGACCCAGCCAATGCTGCCACTCTGATTTCCCCCTAGCTCAGCTCCTACCCCCGGTTGCGAGAAGAGACAGAACGAATTGTCACCACTTACATCCGGGAACGGGAGGGGAGAACCAAGGACCAGGTACTGGCTTTTTGTCTCATTTTCAGGTGTATTTTATGTGCAGTGAACCTTGGTTGTGCAATTATGTGAGTGTCAAATGCATACAGCATTTCAGTCATATATGGAACAGTTCTGTCACTCCCCAAGATCCCCATCCTTGTGTCCCTCTGTCGTCAGTCCCTCCCCAGCTCCCAGGCCCTGTCAACCACTGGGCTGCTCCCTGTCCACACAGTCTGCCTTTTCCAGAATGTCATGTGAACAGACTCCGGCTCTAGTAGCCTCTTGACTCTGTCCCCTCCGCTTGGCATGGTGCCTTGGGATTCATCCCTGATGTTTGTGCTGCATCCAAAGTGCATCCTTGATCGCCTGGTAGGGTTAAAAAACATGGACCGCAGCCTGTTTATCCTCTCACCTGCCAGAACACGTTTGGGAGCTTTTTGTGTTTTAAGTTTTTCTTGTGAAGACTGTCCAAGCCCATACAAGGTAGAGAGTGGGGTGCCCCCACCCAGCCGCAGCATGGGTCTCAGCTGTCACCTACTCAGCTCAGGACTGTCATTCATTCTGCCTTCATATGGCCTGACACCTGGTCTGGGTCACTGCTGCTGGTGGTCTGCTCTGATCTCCTGGCAGTTTGTTCAGACTGGAGCTGAAATAAGCCTACTCGTGAGAACGCCTTGTTTGGAACAGTCCCTCCCCCCTTGACATTGATGGAGAAGGAACTGGCTCATTTGCCCTTTGGAGGGTCCCCCATTCAGCCTGCACCCCGTTCCCTTGTAGCTTCTGTAACCTGGGAGTTTTGTGAAAAGCTCGAGTGATTCCAGTCTGCTTTGTTGTCATTGGCAAGAAGCTACTGTCCCTTCCAGATACACCATAGCCCCCGGTGGCCCCACTGTCGACACTGCCGGGCTTGATCTGAGGGCTCCAGGGCAATAGAACTCAGGTGTTTTAAACCAGTAACAGTGGCTCCCACGGATAGAGCACATGGCATTTTCCAACAATCCCCCAAGAACCTAGTATCTGGCCCCTTTTATGCTTGCGGGTTCAGAGAGTTCAAGTGACGGGAAGGGCAGGGGACTGTTTGAGGGCCGGTCCCTTATCTGAGATGACATCCCAGCTGGTTGGTGGGTGCCTGCGTGCCAGTGTGTTTCATTTTAATGTCCTCACCTGGTCAAATGACCTTTGCTGTTTTAATGAGGTCCTTAGAACATGCCAGGCGCTACTCTAAACACTGCAGATTGTGACTTACTTAACCCTTTGCCATTGGGTCTTGTTGCCCCACTCCACACCTCAGTAACAGGAGGCCCAAGTTCACAAGGCTGGCCAGAGACTGCAACCCCAGTGGGTCACCCCAGAGGCCATGTTTGTGACCACCACACTGGGCTGCTTCGCTCGGCTCTGTTGTCCCAGGCTTGCTTATCTGTGAGTCTTTGACATTTGGAAGCACCCATGCAGGTGTACCCCAGGATATGGAAAGGGGTGGGGGGCCTCTGTTCTCCTGCGTGAGAAGCAGCGTGGTTCTGGGCCACCTCTGCTGGCAGGTGCAGGAAGTGCTCCCGCAGCTGCCCCTCCCTCCACGCTTCACTGATGGTGAACCCTGCTTCCCCCCAGATTCTTCTCCTGATCGATATTGAGCAGTCCTACATCAACACGAACCACGAGGACTTCATTGGATTTGCCAAGTATGTACTTTTCAGAATAGCAGCTGGCGAGGCGGCACCAGTGTCCACCTTCAGAGCCCGGCCCTGAGGGAGGTGGTCGAGCTGGGATTCCCCCTGGGCCAGGGCACAGGGGCCTCTGTCCGGGAGAAGAATGGAGCCATCTGCGTATCTGGAAGCTTGCCTTGGCTAACAGCAGTCCCCATCCTCGTTATCCCCAACGCATCTCCGACAGGGCACCCCAGTGGCTAGTTTAAGGAGGAAAGGGCAGTGCTATGGTCAGGTGCTTCCGGAACTGGTGAGACTAACTAGCATTCAGTGCTTCCTTTCCTGCAGGACTTCTCAGAGCCTTTCCCAGACTCCCCATACGCACTGGGCCCGTTCACGGAGCGTCTCGGGCTGCTCTTTCAGAAGTGCTTCCACGATCTGCCTGGCTTCCGTCCATACACTGTAGATTTAAAACCAGAACCTTCCATAGCACTCGGATAAGGGGCCGGAGCGGGAAGCTCTGATTTCAGCGGGATGTAAATATAAATGCTGGTGGCTTCAGGCATTAGCCCCTGGGCCCCCGCCTCAGTGAGCTTGAGTGTCACACAGATTGTGCCTATGGCTCATGAAGGTCTTCTTGCTGGAGCTGATGTAGGGCAGGCGTGGGCAGCCAGCTTCCTGGTATTTGTTTGGCAAATGCTGCTGGTGTGCTCTCTCTGCACCAGGCTCTGTGATACAGCACTGAGCAAGCACAGACCCAGGTCTCCATCCTCAAAGGAAAGCCCTGTGCCAGGGACAGACATGCACCCAGGCAGTTAAGATGCATTGTGGTCAGTGCTGGGGCGGGGGCTGTGCACGGCCCGTGGGAATCCAGAGGGTAACCTTGCGGCCTGGCCTTGAGGGTGCAGGGAGGCTGCCTTGTCGAGGGGCCTGGAGAGCCAGTCTCAGGCTAGCATGCTGGGCCAGAGGGCCTCCCCGTCCAGGGTCTCTGCTGGCCAGGTAGTTACCTGGGTAGACATTTATCAGTGCACACAGCTCTTTTGTGCTGGACATGTGGTAGGTGAGTGGAACGAATGAATGAGAGAATGAGTGGGGCACAGTCAGAAGCTGCCCCTCCAGCTCAGATGAGCCGAGGGCCCTGGCCGGACTGTGCCTGCTTGGGGAGGGCCGAGGGGCCCTGGCCGGGGACCACTTCTCAGGTGGGCTCTCCAAGCCTGGGGAGGCTGCCCCTCCTGCTCTTGTTCCCTCAGCAGCCAGGTATGGGGGCTGAAAATGCTGGTCCCCCCTTCGGTTTGCTGCTGTTTTCCTCACCTTGATGTCTCTGCTTCTCACACTTCATCCACAGTTCCTTCTCACAATCTCTCCTGTTTTTCCTTTGACCACTCCACTCTTTCCTCTGGATTCCTGGGCCTTCCCACTTCCCCCAGCTGTTACTATACTGAGCAGCTGGTGACCGGGTGGGTATTGCCTGCTGTGTGCCTTTTCCCTGGTGTGTGAACGGGGGATGCCAGGCTGGGGGCGGGGCCCAGGGTGCCTGGCTCCACCCGGCCTGGGCCTAGGCCCCGGCTGTGGGTGGGACATTGCAGGGGCCCACTGAAGAGCCATGACACTGTCTCAATGCCATGCCTAGTGCCAGGCCTTTGGACTAGGACAGAGAACAAGCCCCAGACTTGGGCCTTGTGCTTTCAGAGCCCGCAGGCTCAGAACACATGGTCGTTGAGCCAGTTGTCCTAAGGAAAATGAGAATTGGAAAGGAGGGTAGGTGGAGAGGCTGTGGGAAAGGGGAGTGAGGGGTGAGGCTTGTAGACACCTTCCCAAGGAAGTCATGACAGCCATGTGGCAGGGACAGATTTGGGCAGAGAACATCAGAGGTAGAGAAGGAAGGCTGAGAAGCAGGAGTGTGGGGAAACCAAGGCAAGGTGGAGGTGAGAGGTCAAGGCCTCATTGCCAGGAGGACCTGCAGGCCAGGGGGAAGACTTTGGACTTTGCCCCTCACACATCCACGCACACGCGCAGGAGCAGTGGGCCATCTCTGGATGCAGGCACGGGACAGGGGCAGCCGTGTGGGCTGCCTGGCGTGGGTAAAACCCAGGGAGTAGGGCATCTGGGTACTCACCAGCCCTCAGCATCACTGTGAGCGGCGTAGCTCTGTCTCCTTCAGACACTGTTGATGAAACTCCTTCCTATGCTTAGAGGTTCTCGGGTGCTTTCTCACTGCCCTCTAAACACTAAGAACAGGGCCTGGAGAAAAAGCCCTTATAGTGAATGTGGTGACTCTTAGGAAACTCACTGGATAAAACTATGTTTCCATTCTTAAGGTTCCACCCTTTACTGATCTATGAACAGAAGCCTATTTCCTTAACACAAATACGTGCACACACACACACACGTGCACACACACACGCACACACACTCTGCCCGATCCAGCAGCCGACTTGAACCTTGAGGTAAAACCGCAGAGGCAGTCAGTAAACGAATGAATGAAACAAGGTGGTTTGCCTTTTCATGTTGATCCAAATTTCCAGCTAAAACAGTACGATAAGAAAAGAAAACATGACCCCTGAGTAACAGGAGAGATCAGTTGTTCGCAGGTGATGTTACGATAGTCCAAGTAGAAGATGTACTAGGACAGTCGAGGGAGGGAGTTGAGCAGGTGTCTGTGTACGTGATACAGGGGACTTCGGCACACGCTAGTCAGGAGACAGCGTAGATGAAGAAGAAAAGAGATCTCAGACTGTAGGTAGATAAGGGACCTTGTAGAAACACCTTGACCTTGACTGTCCTCTGCACTGGGTCAGGAGCCATCCAAGAGAAGAGGAGTGGCAGTTTCATGGCGAGCAGCTGTCCCATAGTCTGACCTCCCAGGCCGGACAGCCCTGTGGTCAGACCACTCGGGACCTGGTGCTGGGTCAGGGGTAGGAGGAAAAAGCAGGCAGAAGCCTCACGTTAGACCCCCAAGCACTGAAGGTTTTTCCGAAGCCAGCATGGAGGTAGCACCTGGGACTCCAGCTTCCCATAGGCCCTCTTGGAGGCTCCGAGACCCAGGGATTCTTGGAATTAGCTCTAGCTCTCAGGGATGGCTGAGATCAGGGCCTCGAAGCCACGGTTTAACTCGATATGATTTCTTGTCCCATGGCCCGCACTCTTTCCCTGGGGCAGCCCTTTGTGTGCAGACGGGCTTGGCACCCTCATTGGAGAGAGAACCCCACCTGAGCCACGAGGGCCTCTTGCTCCTCGTCCCCCCGGGCGTCCTGCCGCATGAGCCCTCTCTGTGCTTTGGTTTCAGCGCCCAGCAGAGGAACACGCAGCTGAACAAGAAGAGAGCCATCCCCAACCAGGTAGCTCACCCCTGCGCGGCCCGCAGCTCCACCCTGGGGGACGGGAGGGCGCTAGGGGACCACTGAGTCCAGTGATAGTGCCTGGCTCATAGCATCCCCCTCCCCTCTAGCCTCTCAGTTCCACTTAGTTTTTGCAATTTTGGGAAACCGTTCTTTGAGTGGAAGCCCCAGCAGGGTGCAGGGGGCAAATTGCTCACACGCAGAAGGCCTTGTCTGACATCCAAGGCCGCGGCTAGAACTTGACACTAAGGACAAGGCCAGACCAATCCCTGTGGTGTGTGCAGCCACATTTGGTTCCCGGCCCCAGAGACTCGGAGCTGGTGCGAAGGGGTCAGGCAGGAGGCTGGTCGTGACAAGCGGTTCTGGGAGTCTGGGGGTGCTTTGATTCCTGTACCCGAAGGCCAGAGCAATATACAGGGTTTTCTACCTTGATGTCATGCCCTAGCCAGAGACCTTGTGAAATACGAGCAGCTTTATGTATGCCAGTATTAGATGCCTTTTTTTTTCCTTCTTAAGAAAACAAATTACCTTTGCAAAAATTTCTGCTGGTGTCCCCTGTCTTCTCCACATCGGGCGGGGTTGGGGTGGGGGCTCTGCTATTTATCTTGCACGATCGCAGAGCCCTCTGGAAAAAAGCAATGTAACCACTGCATGATTTTTTGCGCTTGCCATGGGTAATACATATGTTGTTGCTTTTTTGTTTCGGGAGATGATAATGAATTAAATATTAACACCATGAGTATAATTAATAGCATGTAATTTTTTTTCTTTTGCTGTTTTTTCTCCCTGCTCTTCTCTCTTCTCATTTTTGTGCTTTTCCTGCTTTTTCTCCATTCCCTCGTGTCCCTTACGTCTCTTTTCCTTCGCCTGCTCTTCTTTGATTTACCCACAACCCTAACTTTGCATTTTCAAAGGGGGAGATCTTGGTAAGTACTCACTTAGTGTGGAAGCAAACATTAGAGAACCTGGTAGTGGTGGAGACCCTGCCATCCCATAATATTCCCTGCCCCCCCCAATAACAGAACAACTAAAAATCAAGCTAACTCAGAAACCCCCTGCTGTGGCTGATACATGCTGGACTTCATGTAGCCCTGGGCGTAAGCTAAATCACACGGACACTAACCTGACCGCCTGCTCCTGACACATTTACCTAGTTTCCTATAGATCAGGGATGGCAAATACTCAGCTAACACCCCAGGCTTTTCTCCTTTCACATTCCTGGCAGTGGGAAGATTTTGCTCAAGCTCTTCTAGAACATGTTCTTGCCACTGCGACCACTGTGTGTCCAGTGCAGATGCCACTATGGAGAACCTCCTGTGTCCGTGGCAGACATCACTAATCAATCTTAGCATTTTTTTTCCCACTTAATAGCTTTGCAAGTGACACCCCTTCTGTACCTATGACAGACGTGACTAATTGATCAGGGAACTCTCTCCTTGTTGCTGCCACTGTCCTCTTGCCTCCATAGCACAGGTGGAGATGGATTAGGCTGTTCTGTTCCACTTGCCCCTGTCCCTTTGCCTCTGGCAGACATCACTCATTGATCCTAGCATCCTTTCCTACAGTGCCCACTTTCTCACCACAGTGCTTCAGGCAGTTCCTACCCACTGGTGTCGGTGAATGGTATTTGCCATCCCTGCTGTAGGTAACACCTCCTCTGTGTGTAGCCCAGCCCAGCCAGCCTAGCAGGGAGCAGGCACTGCTCATGTCCGAGAGTTGAGCTCTTTTCAAGGTGCTCACCTTTGGGTTCAGCCCCAGCACTCCACTTTGGAGATCACAGCCTGGGCCACCTACCCTGACGGAGGCCTCGTTATCCTGGATGCTCTCCCACCTCCAGCCACTGAGGCACTGGGTAGGCCCTACTGCTGCCATCTGGCAGGGATATTCTGTGACCCCAGGATCTTTCCAATAGCCGAGCTGATCCTATACCAGGACCTGGAAGATAGAAAAGGGCCAAAGCTTGGCATGAGGGGAGGCAGGGGCGGAAGGAATAGATTGTCCTTGGGCCCATGTTACTCACTTTCCCCATGTGTCGTCCCTAATCCCCTTTGAACCGGATGGTTTCCACCCTCCAGACAGCCCAGGGACGTGCTTCTCTCCACACCCCAGACCCTGAGAGGCTTAGTCATTTCTTTTCCAGCCAGATTCCGCACCCCCAGCCGCAAAACCCAGCCCTGCCTTGTACGTGGTTGTGGCTCTTGGGTCTCGCAGCCGTGGTTTCCGTCCCTGCCCAAGAGACTCAGGCGGGACCCTCACCCAGGGAGGAGGCGGGCCCAGCTGTGTTGCTTCTTGCCTGCTGCCCTTGCTGCTTCTGGGCCGCCCTTTCTCCTGCCCCCCCGCACCATGTGCCTGGAGCCTGGGAGCTCCGCCTGCCTCTTCCATCTCCCCCTCTCCCTCACTTACCCTTCTCCCACCCCTCCCCCACTGCCTCCCCTTTCCTAAGCCCAGCCCCTTGGGCACAAGTCTGGCTTTCAGACAAGGAGGCCCAATCGCTCCTTTTCCTTTAGACTCAGCGCCTGTGTCTGTCGCCTGCAGTTTGCTCCTCCCCAGGGTGGGATTTTTGTCTCTGCATCCCCTTGGGCTCCCATGCAGGCAGCTCTCTGAGTGGCTCAAGGGCAAAAGGACCTCTGGGCTTCTCAAGGCCTGACTGGCAGCATCTTGCCCTGAGACTCAGAAGGGCCCTTCCCCTACCCTGTGCCCCATGCCCTGGAGCACGATGAGAGCCCCCAGAACCCCCCGTCTGCCAGCTCTGACCTCAACTAACCAAGGGTGGAGGCAGGCAAGCCAGGCCACCGAGGTGAGGGAGGGAGACGTCTGCCCCCTTGAGAGCTAGGCTGGGCCTGGGAGCGTGGAGGCCTTGCCATGTGAGAATTTCTCCTCTGCAGAGCACGCATGGCCTCCCCCGCCCCATAGCTATCGATCAATGACTGAAGTTTAGAAGCACTCACTCTGGGCCTGGACTAAGACTAGGCAGACTCTGCCCTACTCCCAGGGGAGCGAGGAAGCAGGCATGGACCCACACCCGCAAAGCTCTGGCGCTGGGGGCGGTTGCCAGATGCAGGGGGGCTCCTTCCCAGGGCCTTCAGTGCTAAACCACAACATCCTGGGCAAACCAGGGTGAGTCAGTCGCCCTGCTCCCAGGAAGGAGACCATGACCTTGCTGGGGCTGACAGTCTCTGCCTGCTCCCTGACGCTGTGAGAGTCCTAAATGCTGTCGTTGTCCCAGGGAGGGAGAAGTCTATACCCTTGGCCTTAGCCAGGGCTGCCAGGTGGCATCTCATGGTGTCCCCAGCCTGGGTAGGGATTTCTATGTCGCACAGGAGTCCCTGGGCACCCTGTGGCTGCCTCTACCTTCATGGTCTCTCAGGCTCAGAGCTTACTTCTATCCACAAGAGTGTGGTGGCCCTGTGAAGATTTGCTGGTCTGGGGCGGGTCAGGGTAGACAGGATGAAGCGTCCCTCCTGAGACCCCAGAGGCAGCCCCAAAGCTCCATCTTGGGTACCCTGCCCCACCTCGCCCAGGGGGCTGCAGTGCTAGCCCTTCCCAGCCATCCACGGCCCCTCGCAGCCCACTTTCTGCAGCTTGGCCCAGTTTGTTGCTGCCTTGGCACCAAGCGTCCAAGCCTGTGCCTCCGCTTGCTTCCCGCTGCCCCAGGGTCCCCAGTCCAGAGTGGTGGGGGACTCCGGCCCACAAGTGTCTCCATGGCTGAGGGAATTTGGGAGTGTGCCCCCCCCGCCAGGGTGACTTCATTTAGCTGTCAGGTGAGTGCCCCATGCAGGCCTGGGTTCTGCCTCCTGTTCAGATGACAGCCACTGCCAGATGAGCCCCATCCAGTGGGTCTCCCAGCTCAGAACCCAGATGTGTCGACACCTGGCTTGAAGCCAGCGTGGGGCAAGACCCTTGGCAAGTCCCCCAGGCTTAAACCTCTGTGCCCAGCTCTCTGGGCGGAGTTTCCCTTTATCTTTATATTCTGAAAAAAGTCTATGGGGAGGGGAGCCCTGGGGCGGGGGCTGGCCTGGATTCCCAGTCAGAGTGGGTCCCTGTGCCCACCCAGCACCTGCCTCAGTGAGCTGGGCAGCATAGTTGAGGCTGCATGTCAAGCCTATTCCGACTGGCCCCTGAAAGGAGAGGAGGAACTACTCCGTTGCCTGGGCAGCTCCTCCAAGCCTCCATCAACAGCTGCCTTCCAGAGAAGGCATGAGGGGCAGAGCCCCAGGGTGTCCTTGGTACCCGAATCTCTCCAAGACAAGTGTATTCCTTCAGTGTCACATCCCACGTGACATGGCCCATTCCCCCACAAGCCTGAGAACCCCTCCTCTGGGCCCCTTCTAGCTAGGCCTACCTTTTGCCACCTGTGCTAATTCAACCTAACCCCAGGCGCAGAGGGACTCCCCGGAGCCCCAGTGCCCCATCACCCCAAGTCCTGTGAGGGAGTCTGCATCTGTCTCCCCAAGGGCCCCACGTTGGTTTTTGGCTGGAAGTGCTTGGGGCAAGGTGGAGTTGGGTTGCTTGGCTTTGGGCTGGAGGTGTCTCTACCGTGGTCCCTGGTTTCCCACTTTGCTGGGGGCAAGGGCGCTGGCCACTGCACTGGGGCAGGCAGGGCTGGGTGGTGGCTGCTGTCCCCCGCTGAGCCACGCCCTCCCCCCCAGGTGATCCGCAGGGGCTGGCTGACCATCAACAACATCAGTCTGATGAAGGGCGGCTCCAAGGAGTACTGGTTCGTGCTGACAGCCGAGTCACTGTCCTGGTACAAGGATGAGGAGGTGAGTAGCTGGCGGGGGGTGGGGCGGTCCCCACACCTGCTTCTCTCTCATGCACTTGCTTGTTCATTCTGAAAAGGCTCCCCGAGCACCACTGTTCCCCAGAGCTCACCCTTAGGATGGTACCAGCCAGGGCTGGGGGGTGTGTGAAGGTGCCATGCGTTGTGTCCCAGCCCCTCGTGGGGGCTGGGCTCCCTGAGGAGAAAAGGGGTGTGGGGGAAGGGGAGCCACCAGCAGGCTCGAAACTGATCCCACCCTCCCAAGTCACAGCCTGGGGTCAGGGACTCAGGCTCACAGCCAGGCCACTGAGGTACCGTTGTCTACAACTTACACAGGCTCAGCCAGGCCCTTAGCCTCTGTGGGCCTCAGTTTCCCATCTGCGAAGTGAGGTAGAATGGCCCTTGCAGCCATGAGGTGCTTAATCACAGTGCCTGTGTTTAGAATGTTCTACATGTGCTTGTCCCCGTCAAGGATAGGGAGGCCTCTGGGAACAGCACCAGGGTTAGTGAGTACAGGGAGCGGGGTTGCCCGCCGCCTTGGGCGGGGCTCTCCAGGAGCCTGTGGGTGGGGTTATGAGCACCCCACCCCCGGGCACTGCGGTCCAGGTCCCTCCTCCACCTTAGCCCATCCTGAGTGTCCCGTTTCATCACTTAGTTCTCTTATCAGAACGTTACCATGACTCAGCGGCCTGGGAGTGAAGCCACTCCTTTGGTGTGACTGCCCGCTGCCACTCTGCCCCAGGCTTCTGTGGGTCACCAGTGACGGGCCCCGTGTTTCTCTCACTTTCCTGGATTGCCCAGTGAGAGGCCCACAGGCTCTTCCTGTCGTCAAGGTGGTATTTATTAGGTGGCTGTCGATTTGGCTTTGGGACAGAGGCCCCCAGATGAAGGCACTTACAAAGACAGTCTGTTTCGCCTGCATCCCCATGAGTGTGAGGCTGTCCAGGGCCCAGGCTCCACCTCCCGTTGCCGCCTTCACACGTAGCTGCTCCTTGTGGTCCAGGAGGGCTGCCCCTATGCCCATCACCTCGTGGCCCAGTGAAGGGAAAGAGGCATCTGACGAGGAAGGCACACACATCGCTCTGCTCACGTGCCCCCAAGTCTGGTCACACAGCCACTGTATGTTTCACTCACCTGGGCCGGCACAGCCCCCACCGTGGCCCACACGCCCTTGGAGGAGAGGTCTGGCTTCTTTCGTCACCCCTGGAGCTGCCCCACCTGGCTGTCCCATCTTGAGGGGCTTGGGATGACCCCCACACCTGGGGCCTCACTGGCAGCTGACCTTGTCCCCGGACCAGCAGGCCTGTGCCCGGCTGTGTGTGTTTCCCTCCAGGCTCAGAGAGAAGGCAGGGAGAGCTCTGTCGGGACCTCTGCGTAGCCTTCCTGTTTAAGAAGCCCCTGCCCCGTGCCAAGCTCACTGGTGAGGAGAGGCCACCATGGCCACATGTGGAGGGCGTTCTCCTCCTCCTCAGTGAATCCTCACACTCCATTAGGTGAGGAAACAGGCTCTGAGCAGGGACTTGCCCCCACAGAGTGGGGAAGGGTCCCCTCATGGTTGATGCAGGGCATATGCTCTCTGACCTGAGGCACTTCAGCCCCACACCTGACCTTTCCCCACCACCAAGGCCAGAGGAGTTCCACTGAGGGGAGGGTGTTTCTGGGTGAAATATCATCACCCCACTCCACGAGGCCAAAGACCCATTCCTGGAATGTCTTGGGAGCCCCATGTCTCCCAGGGGACCTGTTCTGGGTGGCTGCTTCTAAACTGGGAGGGGATACGGTTTCCAGGACCCCAGAGCCGTCCCGGGCTGAGACACAGAGGGGGAGGGCAGGGTCAGGCGTTCCTCAAGGAACCTGCGTGGCCAGATCTGCTCCTCAAAATGGCCGTGGTGAACGGGGGCGGTGAGGATGACGCTGTCACATTCTCTCCCTCTCTTTCCGCCCCCGCAGTCTGAAACCCAGTCTGCTCTGCAGTGCGTCAGCTGTCAGACAAGCTGAAAGCTGGTTTGCGCCTTTGGGGTGCCCGGGGTGGGAACGCCAGGCCCCACGACAGCCTTGGGCACTTAGAGAGGGGCTTCTGGGCCCAAAGCCCAGCCTGGTGGTGTGCTGCATGGCACCATGGCGAGCCCCATTTTTAGCTCAAGAAGGGGCCTTTCGTTTCTCCTTCCATCTAGGCGTTGAAAGCAGGAACCCCAGACCCTCCCTTGGGGCCCAGCCCAGAGGCAGGGGAAGTGTTGGGAGGAGGGTCGGACACCCGCCGGCGGTAATGAGAACCAGCAGACCCGTGAATGGGGCCCTGTGTGCGCGTGCCCCAGACACAAAGCAGCCTGAGATCAGGAGGGGCAGGAGCGAAATCCTGTCTGTGTGTCCATCCTCCTCCCCACCCCCCAAGTTAGGATCCTAGCAAGGACCCTCAGAATCACACAGTGGGTGGCCACCCCTGGGGTCAGGCCGCCTTCTTAGAGACGCCTCAGAGAGAGGCAAGACAGCAGCATTTCTTTATTTAACAGATCAGCAAGAAGAGGTGGTTACAGGAGGGTAGGCGCAGGGGAGCGATTTGGCCAGGACTCCCAACCCCTACGCCAGTGTCGGGGCTCCCTTGCCTTTCCCTGGCACCTCTTTTCCCACCCAGGCCCTTCTTCTTTATTCCAGAATCTTCTGTCCAAGTCTCTACCCCGTGGGAAACAGGGTGGTGGGCAATGACACTCACCTCCGGGTCTGCCTCACTGGGGCTGGAGGTGGCAGCAAGTTTGGGGGGCCCGTCCCGACGCGCTGCTTGCCCGAGCCCAGCCTAACCAATGTGCAGACTACTGTACACCTTCAGAGCCCCCTGAACAGGTAGTCTGAACACTGGGTTGGCGGGGCCGGCTGTCCATCCCGCGGGCCCCCTTGGGCAGCAGCAGGGCCACCGCACCTCAGCCCCTCCGAGCAGGCAAGGAAGCCCCTGCGCCGCCCGCGCCGATCTGCTCCGTCTCTTCTGACGTGGCAGGGCTGGGGCCAGCTCGCATCTGGAGAAAGTTGTGGGTTTTCAGGAAATCCTAAGGAGGCGGTGGGGGTGGGGGAAGCGGGTGGGGTGGAGGGGAGGGCGGGTTTGGGTCCGTGGCCTCTGTGCGCAGGAGAAGGTCTCTTTGGGGGTCGGAGCGGGGGCGGGGTACATGCATGCGTCTGTGTGTGTGTGTGTGTGTGTGTGTGTGAGTGTGCATGCCGGCAGCATCAGGAAGACCGCCGCTGCGCTCTGGGCGGAATCACACTATAAACAGTTCCAGATGTGGCGTCTCACTCGGGGCCGGAATGGACTGTGACTCAGTTCCTTGGCCTGGCCAGCCGACTAGAAGCTTCCTGCCTCATGACTTGATAGGGTGGGGGCAGCACTGGCTCTTCCACAGACTTCCCAGCCGGCATCTCCTGCCCTGGCCCCTTCTAAAGCCCCCCAGACTCTTCACTGAGAGCTTGGAGGGCCCTGGGCCCTGCGTTACCTGGCCCACTTGGGCTCCGATGTCTGCAGCATGAATGGGGGTTCCCAATTCTGTGGCCACTGGGCTCCTCCTCTTCCTTCTCACTGCGTCCTGGCCTGGAGGAGCTCTCTGCCTTGCTTCTTCCTTGCCTGGAGCCTGGTGGACCAACCCTGGAGCCCCACAGGTGACAGACAGACAAAAGAAACCCCCTGGTGCCTCGTGAGCACCAGCTCTGGGATGGGCGCGTGCTCAGAACGTTCACACGTTGTGCCTGTCCTCACCTCGCCCCAGGAGGGTGAGACTCCTGCTCACCTCTGACAGCCAAGGAAACTGAGGCAGAGAGAGGAAGTGATTTGCCGAAGGTCACACGGCTGGGGAGGGGCTGGGCCCATACAGGCTCCTGATGACTCAGGACTGAGCCCCAGCACCAAGCCTGTCACTCACTCCTGCCTCCCCTTCCGTCATTCTGAAAGTCTCAGCGGGGCTCCACTGGCTGGGAGCCCCTGGCCCCCTTCCCTTCCACCACTGTGATTGCTCTGGAATTTGGAAGCAACAGCCAGGTCAGACTTTGTTCTGGGGCCTTCCAAAGGACAGGGTAAGACGGGGGAAGGAAGCAAGCTGCTATGTGAGGAGGCAGGTCTCCCTCCTCCAAAGACACCCAGGAGGTAAGAGGCCAGGAGGGCAGTGGGGAGAACCTGGCTTTACAGCACACAGACCGGGCTTTGGAAGTCCCTGCTGTGTGGCCCTGGGCTGCCAGCCTCCCTCTCTGAGCACCATGCTTCCCTGACAGGGATGTGCGAGAGGGCTCTTTGAGCTACTGTGGGTTGCGTGGGAGTTGGGGGACCCTGACGCTGGGCTTTGGTTTCCTGATGTTGAAAACCTAGTTAATGCACTGCACACCCCCCTACCCCCACCACAACACTAATGACGGTGCACTTGTTGGGGTCCATTGTATGTGCTTAGTCTACAGTGGTGGGTGAGTGCTGGGCTCTGGGGTTCGACTCTCAGCTCTGAGACTCACCAGGCCCGTGCCTTTGGCTGAGAGATGGGCCCTCTCTGAGCTGCTTTTCCCCCACCGCCATCAGGACTGCCATGCTGGCCCTCAGCACTTTCTAAACAGGGCCACCCTGGCTTTGGGACTCAGGTATCGGCTCGAGGGGGCCTCACTTTCCAGCTTTGCCCCTACTCACTGCCTGCCCCTTTGTGCCTCAGTCTCCCCCTCTAAATTGGAGTCATACTGGTGCATCACTCACAGGCTCACTGTGAAGATGTAGTCCAGTTAACGGTTTCATTCACTCAGTGGGTGCATTCTGGGGAGAGTCAGACCCAGCCAGTTTTGAGTATCCAATGTGTGTCAGCAGTAAACCAAATAGACAGGAGCCCCTGCCGGCTAGGATCTGACACGTCGGTCTGGGTGACAGATGGTGTCCTAGATCAATAAGCAAGATTAGTGGTGTGTCATTAGTGGTGTGTATATATAAGGGGAAGCGCCAAGGGGAAAAGTCAAGGGAGCGTTTGGGATGGGTCAGGGCAGGCCTTGCCCGGAGGGTCCCTCTGCACAAAGGAGGCAAGGAGGGAACCATGTGGGCATGAGGAGGCGTGGAGCATTCCAGATGCAAAAGCCCTGTGGTAGAAGCTGGCCTCTGAGATGTCCAGAGAAGCCAGAGTGACTGGGACAGGTGGGCAAGGGCAAGGGGTGGTGGTGGATGAGTTCAAGTAAAGCAAGGACCACAGGAGGTGTCCGATGTTGGCAGTGGTCCTTGTGGTGGAGTCCAGCCCAGGGCATCCTCAGGTCCCCAGTTGAACAGCCCATAATGACCCCTCCCCTTCCACCCTCAGGAGAAAGAGAAGAAGTACATGCTGCCTCTGGACAACCTCAAAATCCGTGACGTGGAGAAGGGCTTCATGTCCAACAAGCACGTCTTCGCCATCTTCAACACAGAGCAGAGGTGAGGTGCTTGCTCTGAACAGTCCCTACCCTGGGGTCTCACATTCCAGAAAGGGAGTCAGTCAAGAAATAGAAAAATGCTTCTGTTGGGTGGTCAGAGAACACCCCTCTGAGTTGAAATAAAGATGAAATGATAACAGGAGCTGTGGAGGCTTCTGAGCCCAGGAGCCACCAGACCTGACTTGTATTCACTCGCGCCCCCTGGTGGCCTTGAGTGGAACAGACTGAGGAGGTGAGGATGAGGGCAGCAACTGCACAGGTCCAGGTGTTAGATGGTGGGGCTGGACCCAGCTGGGGCCTGGGACACAGAGAAGTGGGGGAGGGCGGATTCCAGTAGAACCTCTGGTAGATGTGTGTGTGAGAACGAGAAAGGCGTGACTGCAGACCCTGAGCTCTTGTAGGGCTGCCATCGGCTGACGTAGGGGGGCAGAGGCAGAGTAGGCCTGGGCAGTCTGAGGCAGGCTTGGGCCATGCTGAGGGAGAGAGGCCTGTGAGACACCACATGGGGCGTGGAGGAGGCAGCTGGGTAGGTATAAGAGCTGGTGATCAGGAATGTGCTCCAGGTAGGAATGCGAATTGGGGAGTTCTCATTTTGTGGTGGTGTTAAAGTCTAGATGGGATGAGATCTCTGGGCCAGTATAGACAGAGAAGAGAAGGGCCCAAGAGGCTCTCGGTATATCCATCGCAAGGTGCTTTGGTGGGAGACTTAGCAAAAGCAAAGGCACTTCTCTCACTCAGGAAGAGACCCAGGTGGCAGCAGGTCTGAGAGCAGGAGGCAGGGCTGAGCATGGACCTCGGAAGGGGGCCTGCCCAGACTCACACCCTCATCCGGGAACGAGGGACCACCCAAATCAGCCAGGGCCTGGTGGGTCTTCATGACTGGCCGGCAGGCACTGACATCCTCCCTGCTGGCCCCAGGACCACCTTCCCCACTGCGCATCCACACCCTCCACTTTCAGCTGAGTCACCTGTTTTGTGCAAGAATATTTGTTCTGGACTGGCTTAAAATTCTGAGACCCACTTTGGCCATCAGCTAGCTCCAGAAACCTTTATAGCCCATTTATGATCATTGCTCCCCACCCCCACCTCCCCTGCCTAAGAAGCCCTAGGGTGTGCAGGAGAACCCAGGCTCTGCGATACGACAGGCCCCCTGGCCAGCTCTTCCTGGCTTTGTGATGTTGGGCAACAATCCCACCTCCCTGGCCCTGTGATTCCCCAG